ATAATATATATATATATATGTTGAATAGAAGATTCTATATTGCTTGTATGTAAATATATACTACATATATTTACACCGTGTACATCAAATGTATATAGTGTAAAAGGCTATGCATGCGGTGCCTAGACCTTTTGGGGGCTGCCTCTGTCCTGCAGCATTGGAGACAGCAACAGGGTTTAATCTGATTCATTGAATCTCCCTAGACACTCTAGGTTTCAGGCAACCTCAAACGTCTTGTATGCAGGCAGCTGCAGCGGCTCTGCTAGTTCCAGAGATTGTATGCAGCCCAACCTTCTTAACTGGAGGATGGCGCAATGGGGCCCTCTGCCTCCCTTCTGCGTGCTGCCGCCCTTTGTAGGAGAAGGTGTGCATCGTTGAACCGCAGAGGAGGCAAACAACATGGTTACTGCAGAGACTTAATTGCTTAAGGGAGCCCTATAGTCCCTTTCGGCTGAAGGATAGTGTTGTATCCTCGCCGCTTTCTTCAACTCGCTCCAAAATATTATGCCGCATATATGCACAAACCAGTAAATACACAGTACGTGGGTGTTGTATATTTTGTGTTTACTATATACACCTCATGCAAGCAAATAGACCAACACCGAATTCCCGCACAAGTATATAGATAAACCCCAAAAACTTAAATGGGTAGGAGTTAAGGACACCCCAAGTTAAATAAATATACGCCATAAAATAAATTTAGCCGGGAAGGCTCTGTGGAGGATAATTGTGGGGAGGAATGCCCCTTTTTCTCCTGTCAGCTTAAAGTCGGACAAATGAAAATGGGGCATCTCCACGTAGAATTTTGCCCCTAACAGACTGCAGGAGCCCCCATGCAGAGGCGCTACAGAAGGGACCTGCCGCAGGGTGAGATTGAACGGGCCCCCGTGCATGAAGTCGGATAAATATATCAATTATTACATAGAGAACCGCCTTAGAAGGTGCCTCGTACAGAGGCCCCCTTGTAGAGGACCCAATAACGGGTTCCCCCTGCACTGAACTAACTGAAGAGGCCCCCATATAGGGGCCGCCTTCTGATGAGATCGCCGCAGTATTGATGTCCTTGTGGGTCCCTGCCCTATCGAGTTGAATGCAGGGTAATACTGTGGGACCGTGTGTGTACGGGTAGTCGTGGGAAGGCTACGGGGAGGCCTGTAGCTTGTTCGAGCAGCTGCTGGAAAGAGGGCCCCACACATTCAATGAGCTCTTCAAGACTGCGAGCTGTTTCCTCCCAGCAGCAAGGGGAGGCCCATCGGGGGGATTTTACTATTGGACCCCGTACAAACAAATTAGCAAGCCCTTGGTAGGAGCGGGCGAAGTCCACTGCAAAAAAAAAGAGATACAAATTGACAAAACAAGCATCGTCTTGAGCCCCCCACCACACACACAGGGACTCCCAGCATACACACCACCACCTGTCTACCTCTTGGTGCAACTGTGGATTTCGCGCCGTTGCAGCGCCGGCTGTGTCCAGAAAGCAGCTAAGATAGGAGGTTTGTATTTGGGTTTTCTGAAGTGCAAACGAAGGGATACACTTACACTCAAAGGATCGTTGCATGAATACATTCGCAGAGAAAAGGAAAGGAGCCCTTGCATACTGCCACCCATGCAGCATACACGCATGCATGCACTGTCTGCTCCCTAGATGCATGCATGGATGCATGCAGGTGCGCTTACAGAGTTCGTTCGCATCTTCGCTGAGGGGCAAATCTACGGAGGGGAGTTTGCATTGCCTGGAGTCCCTTGTGCTGTTTGTTTGTCTGTTTTGTTGATGCCTTAAAGAAAGGGATTTTAAATCGTAAATAAGATTTACAATAGTCGCGCACTGGTTCGGATGTCTCTGGCAGAGCGTTAAGAGGTACGAAACGAAGATGCTGCTGCTTCTGTTCGTGGGGCTGGAGACTGACGCTGCAGGAGTTTCCTGCATACATTTCCCACTGCTCAGCAAGCGGCTTGAGAGGAACCCGATATTAGCTGCCAAGAGCTCAAGCTCTTGTTGGGAGGCTATGCAAGCATTTGCGACTGTCTCCTTCATGCTGCAGACGCGATTTGCAAACAGAGACACATCAGAGGATTCACCTGCTTTTCCGTTCTCGCCTGCTGATTCTGTTGCTGCTGCTGCTGCCGCCGCCGCTTCTGCTGCTGTTGCTGCCTCCCCCTGAGCCGCAAGCAACTGCTGCGTCACCTCTGCCACGCACTGCTGCTTCTCCAGATTCCGCCCCAAGGGACTGAGAAGCGCCTGCCGCCTTATCCGTTCAACTCCCAGTAGGGCCGCAGTTTGCACGGGAAACAGCCGAGCTGCTGCTGCAGCGTCATAGGCCAGAGTGATAGCAGCGCGGGCAGCAGGAGGAGATGAAGGAGGGTGCAATCCCCTTATTGCTCGAGCCACCTGCGCGTACGGCCAAAACACGCAACCCCACCCACGTATAAGCGTGCATGCAGTATGCAGCAAAAGATGCCGTGGAACAGCACCAGCAGATCCCGCCTGCTGCTGCTGCTGCGTGGGTCTCTCTGCTGCAGCAGTTGCAGCATTTTTTTGATGGTATCGCAGGTTCACCATATTAACACAGCAGTATTATCACCATCACCAGCAAAAGTACGGGCGGCAACAGGACAAGCAGCACAATCACGAGCAGCAGTAACCTACGAGTACGGAGAAATCCGTTAGATCGGAGTCATCGAGCATTCCAAGAGCCCTTGCCAGCAGCACAGCTCCAAGGGTAGTTGAGTAGGGGAGAACGGGGGTGCCAAGATCTGCAGGTATTAGTCTAGTTTCTCCTTTTCTGTCTAGAAATTCCACCTTGAGAGGGCCTTTGCCTTGAACAACCCCTAAACACTTGGTAAAAATCGGAGGTGGAGGCAATGGGGCTGTCTCCAACAAATCCCTGAGCCCCTCGTGCACCCACCGGTGTCTGTATGCAGACAGCACGCGCTTTATGAATGTTTCCACCTCTGCTGACACATCCCACACTGTGGTGGGGTCTAGAGCCTCGCACGGCAGCATCAAACCCTCAGGAGCACCAGCCACAGCAGCAGTAGAAGCAGCAAAGGCAGAGCGGCGAGAGCGCAGAAGTTTCTTCCACGTGCCTTTCGGGACTGACACCTTGAAGTGTACAGACACCGCAGTTATCGCAGGTTCGACATCCCCCACGGGACTCGCAGACGCTACCCTGTAGCAACAAGCCATACGGAATGCATGCAAAAAGTCCCCACAACAGGCAATAAACGCATGTACAAAACTAAAAAGCAATAGGCAATGAAAGCATCCGATATATGCAGAGTTCGCACAATAGCAAACAGTAAATACATGTGCTGCATGAATCGCCCCAACACAAAACGAGCTGGCACCACGCGTGCTGTGGACTGCATCCCTCGTTGCAACAGTCCGTGTTTCCATATTACCCACTGCAAGACCCCACACAAGTCAGCACTGTGTAAGGGCTTTACCCGGAAGCTACAGAAGACAGTCGCATACAAAGATCGGGAAAACGGAACAAAGGGAGATAGGGCAATAATAAACGGAAAAAAAAGGGACAAGACACTGAGACACCATCAGCAGCACAACAAGGGTCAATGGCTATACGTAACCCTGGCAACAGACAGAAAAAGCACGCTGGAGACGGCACAAGGCAGGATACAGCTATGGAGGAAAAGGAGACCCATGGGGCATGTGAAAGAGTCGTCTTCACAGCGTCGCTGTCGCTCACGGCAGCATGAAGGGTAGGGCCCCAGGAGGCAGCTGTGTTGCGTTTGATGGAATATGCAGGAAGGTGGACGGTACTGTTGCAGGAGAGTGCCGCTGTTCGGAATCGTATACGAGGTGTAAGAAAGTGGCAACGTAGCGCTCTGGGTTGGTGATAGCCAAAGACAATCCAGAGGCCAAGTCCCTAACACAGCACACAGCCCAAACCCATGAAACACACAGCCCCTTAGTCTACAACACAAAGATGGGGAAGTCGGTCGCACATCACAAGCAAATCCAGCGCGACTGGGCAACTTGCGCGGGTCTTTCTTTGTGGTACTTCTGGTTTAACTGGCTTATTACTGATCTGTATTTGTGCTGCTGTGGGTTTGTTGCTGCACTCTTCCTGTACAGCTGTGGCTTCGTGCTGTGATGGCATCACACCGTTCGTAGCTGTCTCCTAAGAAAATCATCCTTGTCTCTGGATGGAACAGCGGTTTAGAGCCTTCCGGTGCTTTCGCCCCATTTTGTAGCAACCTGTGCAGCCCTGTAAATTTAGAACGGCCGCGGCCCTTCTTCCCTAACAGAGCCATCAACAAACACACAGATAAGTGGCGTCAGAGAACACAGGAGACAACACACAATCTGACGGGAGAGAGGCGGCAGGAGAAGGGACATAGAAGATCGGGAACAGAAAACCGGAGAGAACATCGAACACAAAACAGAAAACAGACGACAGGAAACACAAGGGATGAAACAGGGGATATAAAATAGCAGGTAGGAGTTAAAAGACAGGATATACGAGATAGGAGACAGGGCCTGGAGAGGCGGCCGTGGAGCAAGTTTTCACAGATGCAAGCTGACGGCGGCCTGCGTCTTTGGGCACCAAGAAGGTGACACCGGTGCCCTTATCTTTGTCACTGCCTCTGGCTTCATATATCAGCGCTTATATATAGAAGGAAATGGGAGGAGAAATGAGTACACAACCAACTAGAGGAAATCGGAGACACAAGGATACAGAAAGGGGGAGGGTAACGCGAGACGGAGGGGGATACAGGAAGAGACACAGGCACGCGGAGTGGGACGGAATGATAGAGCAGGCTAACGGGGACAGAAAGGAGACATCCCGCCCAATGGTATGGCACTGCTTGTTGGCTGACCAGTGAAGGCAGCCTTGATTAGATTGACTCTGTTTTCGTATGTTACAATCGGTGTGGATGGCGGTCTTTTGACTCCAAGCAGTTCTGCTTCACGGAGGTAAATTGCAGCAATATGACGGTAGAGGCTCTTGGGTCGGAAGCCGATACGGATTGAAGGCCTCGCTGACGCCAAGACGACCGGCAGCACCAGTTGTAGTTGCTTCTGTTGCTGCTGGTGCAGCAGCACCTGCTGCACGTGCACCTGCCTCCTTTGGCTGCCGATCCACCTGCGGGTTCCCTGGGATAGCAAATAAAGAAGTGCTCCGAAGCCGGGGTAGGCAGTGCCCCGAGGGAAGGCGGGGTCGACTCCTCCCAAGTAGGTACCCGTCCCCTTTATTCTCCACCCCCCACTGGACACGCACGTGTCATCAAAGTCGGTGGCCACTGCAACCTCCTCTCCGACTCCTTTCAAGGAATACAAGTCCACAGCAGAAGCAGCGAAAGCCGAGGGGCTGTCGTTCTCCCGCAGGAGGCGCAGGGAAGCAAGCGAGACACCCGTAACAATCTCCGTGTAGTGCTCCAAATCCCCCCGACCCTGCGTGCGCACTACCGCCTCTATAAACAGCACACCAGCAGCGCATGCAGCAGGAGGAGATTCCGCAAACCCAAGCGATCGCGTAACAGTTAACGAATCAACATCGTGAAAGAAAGTCAACAGCAGGACAGCCCTACAAACAGCCCTTTCCATCAGCAACACCACCATTAAACCTCATGAAAAAAACGGAACTACACCAATTAACCTTCAAAACAGAAAACAAGACAACACCACCCAATCAACCGCTCACCTTCTCTAATCAGCTCCAACTCGTCCATCAACCAGGCTTCTGTAGAGACAAACCCCACCACATCCAAAAGACAATAAGCTAATTATACCCACTCGATGAACACCGAAACACACAGCATTACAAAACCAACGTATAAAATTAAAACAGTAGCACGATTCCAGCGGCAGCAACAGCAGCTGCAGCAGTTGAAGTACGGCAACTTAGGCAGAAAGTGAATAAGCAGCAACAGCAAGGGAACGAGAAGCAGTAGAAATGTTATTGCAGCCACACTCTTGGGTTGATCCATATGCGATCGTCTCCGGAGTCTTCTCAGAGCCCTCATGAACTTTCTGTAGAGGCGTCTGGCCCTCCGCAGGAGACTCTGTGCTGCAGCAGCAAACGCACACACAGGTACCGCAGCATCATCGGTGTTCTGCTGCTGCTGCGTCATTGGTTTTGGCGTTCCGTCTGCTTCTGCTGCTGTATCCCCTGGTCTTGCTGCTCGTGCTTGGATTCTGCTGCCGTAGGTACTGCTGCTTCTGGGTTAGCTTACAGGCTGCAGCATTGAGGATGCGCTGTAATGTGGGGCGGTGCTGCGTAAAGGCACAGCGAAGTTCTACTTCAATGCTAGAGGCATCTAAGGGACGGACTGTTGCGAAGACTCTCTCCAGCAGGGCAACCTTCTCCTGCTCTTGCAACCGAGATGCCTTGCGAGACCGCAAAAAGTGAATGATTTCCTCTGCAGCAGCAACAGCGGCAGCAGCAGATAGCAGCAGCATGTAGCGTCAGACCGACACTCCCAGATGCCTCCTGTTATTGCAGACAGTCAGCGTTAAGTAGTGCTACAGCTGCTCGTAGGGGATGAGGGGGGCAGAAGCAGGCAACGCCAGAAGCAAGGGACTGTGGCTGCTGCTGGTTTGCACTTGCTTGCTACTGCGTCGCAGTGAAGTTCAGCAGCGAAGCGGCTCTGACGAAGATACGCAAAGGCCACTCCTTGCTGCAGAGACACCCGACAGGAGGCAGAGAACAAAGGGTTCCGGTTTGGAAACAGCAGCCAAGAAAAGTTTCTTGCGTGGTTCATTCGTGCATTTGTGTTGACTGAGTGCTTGCTTTAAAAGGGCAAGAGGAATTTAAGGTTTTGGGTTAGCAGCACCTTGAGGGAGGGTTCGTCGAGCCTGGCAAGATGGAGAGGGTGAACTAAACTGGCTGCTGCCTTAAGCGGGGCAAGAGGGTCTGGATTTCTTGCAGCGATCAGTTGAAAAGCCCGTCGAAGACTATTTGGGGATAAACTCATGGTGGGCCTCTCTAAACCCTTCGGATGTGCGAAGACAGGAGCTACACCACCCCTGGTGTTAGTAAAGCCAACAAAGACAACCGTTCCCAAATGTAGAGAAACTGCATATACACCGCACAGCAGCGACAAGCGGAATTTGGGAGGTGACGGAGACACAACGAAGAAGAGGTACAAGCTGCCCAGGAGAGAGCAACAGACGATCAGACAAATGTCAACCCAAAGAAAAAAGGGAGAAGACAAAACGAAGAAGCGAAAAAGAGCGACTAAAAATGGTGCAGACAACTCACTGTTTTTTTTTGTATGTAAGGAGCTAAGTACGAGGCTTGTTGCTTCTTCAACGACCCCCTTAGCTGTATAGGCAGAGCAGAAGGAGTAAAAAAGAGAAATTGGTGACAAGGAACAGAGCAGACGGATTATGCGAAAGAGACAAAATTGATTGAGGGAGAAACAGAGAAGGATCAAACACCCCTCAAGCGCTGGCTTTTCATCGAGCTCTAAGCCCCCACCATACAGCCAACTCATTGCGTACTGTTGAGGAGAAGGCGCAGCAACAGATGGACTCTGGCATTAGGCTTGGAGCTTGATAAATCGAGGGGGTTGTCTCCTTCTTTAGCCCAGAGGCCGCAGATAAGCAGTGCTACGGCCCGCAGGCTAACGGCTTCCAAAGAAGAAAGGAGGTGCACCTCCAGCAGCTGAGCGAACTTGAAGAGTTGCTTCTCCACGAATTGCTGCTCCTTGGCAGAGACAACGCCTCTTTCAATTTGCTGCAACCCCTTCTGCAGACGGGCCCAAGCTGCTGTCTGCCTTCCAGCAGGACCCGTTATTGCTTGCAGCGCAGTTGCTGCAACCAAAAAAAACCCAAAACCCTATGCCCTAAACTCTCACCACGCACTTATAACAACCTCCCAGCCACATCCCTTGTTAGAACAAGTCGATTCTGTTGTGCGTAGGCCCCAAACTGTACCCTTCAGACCCTTTTAACCCCTTAAACTTTCAAGGGTGAAGGTTCAGTGCAAAAGAGGCTGGACCTGTTCTTGCAACAAGATCTCCTAGAGGGGGAGCAAAGCCTGGTTTGTTAGCACTGTGATGTATGCTAAGCAGCCAGGCGGCTTGCGTGCCGTTTTGGGTGCCGAGGATCTGCGCAAGCGTGGCGGTTAGCTGCTGCACTTGAGAGTAGTTGAAGGGGAGAGCGTTAACGACCTGCTGGAATACGGCGAGACGTCCCAAGATGTCTCCTCCGGCATTAGAGTAATAGAGCCCTCCCCTCAATAATGCCCAAGGAGGAGACACTTTGTCCAGCACAGGTGTCTGGTGGATGGCTCCTCTGGGGAGGAAGGCTAGAGCCTGTCTCCCTACGTCTTGCAGACTCTTCTCCAGGGGACTTGCAAGAGACTCCAGTGCCAACGCACGCTCGCCTGCAGTCCCTAAGCTCCAATCAACACATATGCATGCATGCATGCATGCATGCAGACATGGAATCTAGCATCAACACATCACCTAAAGTAACCCACCCAGCACATGAAAACAGCCAAACAAACTCCCAAAGCCTAGGGCATGAACCCCGGAAGCGGTCGATGCTAGCTTACGTTCACTGCAGCGCAGTTCCACTGGTGGAGGGGTCTGCAGAGGCAGTTTGGCAACCTGAGGGAACCGGAGACGCAATATGAGTTGTGCATGCACCCTAGGGGATGACGGTGAGGCGGTAACCTTAAATTCCAATACACACGAAAGTAGAGGCACTCTGCTGCAAGAGATCTGTATAGCCCACCTCTGGGAGGGTGATAAAAGGGAGTTGGCTCAAGATGGCTTTGTTGTGACCTGGAGACGAACAGCTGAAAGATTCATTGTTCCTTAACAAGAAGAAAGGCCTGCAAAGGCCGTAGAGACCCAACAGAGCAGCCTCTAGTGCTGTCCGCCCCAGCACGTCCAGGTGTAGTAAAGTTTGGAATGCGTCCCATTCGCGTGCCTCTGTAAACACCCACGAAGAAAAGCCCTTCGAGAGTCCTGCAGCACAAGGCCTAGCTAGCTAGCTACGGGGATCTGCAGTTAGCAACACCCAGCTGTGCCAGACAGGATTCTCTAATCTCCCTTCTGAGGGATGTGCAGACAACTCCTGCCCAGGGTCCCCAATGGGGCATACAACACAGCCGCCGCTGCTGCTGCCGCTGCTGCTGCTAGTGGGAATTTGTTGTGTAGCTTGGCTGTTGTGTCCTACCGATGTGTGCTGTTTGTGATACTCCCCAGATGGTTTTAGCGGCATCTGCAGCTTGCTTTGTGCTTCTCCCGAGGGAGAGGAGACTCTTCGTTCGCTTGTAGAGGCGGCTCAAGAAACGGTCACGCTGTCTGGGCTGATGCCACCAGAACTTGCGAGGACTCTGCAAACTATCCTCCAGCATGGCGATTGTCTCCTGCACTTCAGGGGGGGAAACACGCATCAGCCCTGAGCCTCAGCGCACGCAACAGGAACCAAGCAGCACCTATGGAGGCGGCACCAGAAGTAGTTATAGCAGTATCCAACCCAGCAGAAGAAGCAAAACTAGCGGCACTGGGTATAGCGGCAGCGACAGCAGCCGCAGCAACAGGTATAAAAGCAACTGGAGGAAGCGGCACAAATACGCCTCTTCCAGGTACGAATAAGCCTCTTTTCTGTCTCTTTATCCTTTCAGAATTCCCCCTATCTCCGCCCTTTCGTCTGTCGTTCCCACCTGCTTCCTGCAGCTCTGCGATGGCGTCTCTGGGATCTGCAGCTTGCGACACCTCAGATATATCTAAGGGCAGACAGCAGCAGCAAACCTGACGGCTAAAAGGTCAGATGTTGCACCAGCAGCGGAAGCAAAACTGCCCCTACGAGCATCACCAACAGAAACCCAAAAAGAAACAGCAAACACAGCAGCAGCAGATGAGACAGAAAAACGGACGTCGCGCAGTAGTTTCTTTTGCATCATTTCTCGCTGCTGTTGCCAACTGCTGGAGCTGCTTCAGCAACTTCTGAGCGGTATGTATAGGGAGTGTCTTGGGGTTGTAGGGCGTCTTGAGATGCTCATTAAGCTGCGCTGCAGCACGAGACAATCGCAGCAGGCCAGTACGAACTGCTTGCTTTTCTGCATCCTAATACGATCAAAAGTGTAACTGCCAAAAACGAGTCTAGTCTAATCTGTCTCCTTTATGAAGAGACGTCACAAAATCAAGAGGAAGCTGGAGACGCACAGTAGAGAGTGACGAGAACCGCCTGAAATTGAGGAGGTGTCTCCTCTTGGGGTTTTGCAGGGACTTGTAGCCCTACACTCCTGATCCTGCTGCTACTGTCTGAGACAGTAGCTTCTGTGCTGCCCTCCGAGGAGATGGAGTAGTCCCTGCCGAAGCTGTCGTCAGACGGGGTGCTTATGGAAACACTGCCTCCTTCCGTGTCGGTGCTGAGACCATAACGTGGGGCCTCCTGCTGCCCTTGCTTTTGCAGTTCCTGCTGCTGTAATTCCCGCTGCTGCATATCTTGCCGCTCCTGCTGTTGCAGCAGATGCTGCGCCTGCTCTTGTTGCTTCAGCTCGTGCTGCTTTTGCTCTTGCTGCTGCTGCGCCTGTTGCCCTTGCTCTAGTTGCTGCAGATCCTGCTGACCTTGCCATTGCTGCTGCGGGTTCTGTTGCATAAGCGGAACATTCAGATACGGCAGGGTGCTGTCTGCTGCTGCAGCACCATAGTGAGGGTCGTTTCCTTCTGTCTCCTGCTGTAGGCGAACAGAACCCTGAGGGAGAGTCAGTGCCGTTGCCCCTGCGAATGCATACACAGAAAGCGAAGAAAACTCAGAAATTGAACGCAAGGAGACAAGAGTGGGTAGGGGAGGGAAGAGGAGGCATATATAAACAAAGTGGACGCAAGAAAAGAGAAGGAGCAGAATATGGAGACAAAAGAGGCACCCGAAGAGACAGACTGGAAGCGAAGCTGAGGAAGGCAATAGAGGGGGCAGAGACGGAGGCAGCGCATGGACGGAAGACAAAAAAAGAGACTCAATAAGATAAAACTAACCGCCTGGTAGGAGGAGACATAATATAAAAAGCAGAGGGGCAGCTGCCTTGAAGATGATACTCCAGCAGGCCGGCTGGCCGCATATCCCGAGAGGGGACATCGCAACGGACAGCGTGCTGGAGACACCTTCTGTCTCCTTTCTGCCGCCTTCTTTCTTCCACGAGTCCCCCTTCTTTCCCCTTTTGTTTCCGTTGTGTCTCCTTCCTCGTTTTCCCCACTCTCTGGTCCAATTTCCTCCTTCCTGCTTCTCTCCCCTTGCTGTCGGTCTCCTCAGTTCACTCGGAGACAAGGGAGACTTCCGTGATGTCCCGCAGGCCACTCCGCGGTGTCTGAGGTCTTGCTGTGTCTCCTTCTCTTTTTCTCTCCTTGGAATACTGCAGATTGTAGCCGCGGAGGGGAACAGCGACCAAGGGGGGGCACAGAGACAGGCAGAAAGACGGAGAAAACAGTGAGGCAGAGACAGTGGAAGAGAGACTAACAGAGAAAGGGAGAGGAATTGGAAGCAGGTATATATAGGGAGAGATCTAGAGAGAAAGAGGGAGGGAGAGAAGGAGACTGAGTCAACAAACAGAAACAAAAGGAGAGGGACACCCGAGGGCAGGAGGGACCGGCAAAGGTATAGAGGCCGCGATGTGCTGCCTTCTTTGGCTGGAGGTAGCAGAGAAAGCCAAAAAGATATTTAAGCTGAATATATGCTTAGAAGGCAGCCTTCAGGTGTATGTACACAAACATGTAAAGACAACCCCTGAGGAGACCGCTGGTCTGCTCTCTGTCTCCCCGGCTCGGGTGTCCCCTTCTAAGGAGTCGAGCTTAATGCCGGCTTTAGTGAGAAAATAAGCAAATAAATATCTACAAGCCCTTCAAATTGCCTTTTATATTGCCTTGAGGAGCACGAAAGCTGCAGGAATACTCCAAATACAGCGGGCCTTCAAGGTGCTGCAGCAGCTGCAGCACCTGCTGCTTGCTGCTGCTTGCTGCTGGTGCTGTTGCTGCTGCCGCAGTCAATGCTGCTGGTGACGGATTAGAGAAGGAAACGGTTGCAGGCTGATCCACCCTATTTTTGCGTTTAGTAAATTAAATTTAGTATATTTCTGGTCTAGCCAATAACCTGTTAACGTTTGTCGTCCTTCTGTCGCCACAGTGAGAGGCCCCCCGGGCCTGCAGAGACACCCGAGCACTGCCGACGGCAATAGCGTCTTCCGTTTCTTGTCTGCCATTTTGAATGTATTTGAGCGTTAAAATACAAACGCGGTGACACAGAAGTTGTTGGGGTGTAGCCTTTTTAGCTACTTCAATGCTTCTACCGCCCCCTACTCCCCAGGTGTACAGGTAGCTGGCAGCGCTGGTGTCTCAGCAGCAACAGTCGTTTCCTCTCAAATACAAGAACGGCAGCAGCAGCATATTCATGGATACTAAAAAGCAGCGAAATGACAGATACAAAAAGGTTTAGACAGACAAGCGCACCAGGCGCAGTAAGAGACACCCAGTAGCACTGGCACAATAACAACCAAGTCCCTCCGCACGCAACCCTGCACTAGCGGTTGCAACTCCTGCAGCAGCAGAAGCGGCAGCAGCACAGTGAACAGATCCAAATGCACTGTATCTTGGCCAAAGTGGGAAACAATATTACTCTCACTATCACGGCTCTCAAACTGCCTCTAATCGGCTGGCTGTGTCCGCAGGGATACTGTCTCCTTGTTGTTACACAGTTATTCTCTCGTTCTGCTTGACTTTTGTCTCTTTATTTGCATTTGTATACTCGTTGTAAAACGCAATAGGGGGAGGCGCATGACACCCGACACTTGAAAACGCAGACAGATAAATGCAGCCGCCGTTGTTGCTAGGGAGGGAAACACCAAGAGAGAAAACCGCACTCTCCCTCACTTTATTCCCCAGCGACACATCTAGCTAATCAGTTAGCTAGGCAGCCAACAAGCTTCCACCCACGCGAACGTTGCCCGCTAGGTAGCCAGTTGATAGCCACCACAAAAGCCACAGGGTATCAGATGCGCGGAACACCCGCCGGCTGCCGCTGGTGCTGTCTTGTTGCTGCTGCCGCTGGTGGTTCTGGTTCTGTTACTGCGGATGTAGTTGTTTCATGCCACTCCTATGAACAACCCCAAGCAGCACCCCGGGTCATACTCACGAGCGAGAAAAGAGAAGCAGTGTGCAGCTGTGATGGGGAAATCTGAAGTTGGTAGCTTTGCCCTAGTGGCTGTGTTGTGTCTCCAGCAGCAACAAGTGGGCTATGTGAGGCGTCACCTGTCTGTAAAGAGAGCTTCAAGGCAACCCTTTATGGAGAAGCTGTCTCTGTTTTCTGCAGTCGGAACGCAGAAGAAAAGGAGACAGCACAAGACAGCGTCCCCTTAGGCGGCCGTCAACGCTTAAAGGTCTCCACTAGAAATGAGGCAGCATCTACTGGTCCCATCCAGTAGTCGACGCTCAAACGTTTTCCCTATTCTTAATACGGAGCAGCCACAACAGCTGCGGGTCGAGCTGCTGCTGCTACTGCATGGAGATAGTTTCTATTGACGAGGGATGGCAAGCAAGCAAAAGTTGCTGCGGCAGCACGGAATTGCTGCCTCAGCAACTTCATGCTGCAACATTTGCCCGTATCCCCTTCGGCCAGTGCACTTTTCTTAAAGCCCAAAATACTCCATGAATGCACGTATGCATGTATACGTGCATGCATGCAAGTGGAGGGCGGTGCTCGTTGTGCTGGCGCATGAGAAGAAGTCCTCCACAGTGCCTATACCACAACATGCACTATACTGCCTCCCCAACAAAGAGGACCTCATCCAGTTGTGCCTAGGTATATCTTCCTGCAGATAGACGCAGCTGCCTGTAGCGAGTTGAAAGCAGCTTAGCTGTAGTCGTCCCACCTCTTAGCCTCTCGACTGATCCAGACAGAAAGGGCAGCATTGAGTTGCTGAAGAAGCAAGGAGACAGCTTGAAGCAGAGAATGTGGCAGATTCAGAGAACCGAGTTAGGATTGATGGAGTGTAACAAACAAGCAGGAGCTTTCCCGCTGCACTAGGAGCGAGACGATACACTTTATTTCCCTGGATTTGTCTCTTATATCCATGATTAAATATATACGGGACACCAGCATTTATGGTTCATTGTCTATCGTATAGTGTTTAGGGTTTAGTGTCTAGTGTTCAGATGTTACGGTTCTGCGTTTAAGGTTGAACGCTAAGGGTCTATTGAGGGTTTAGATCCCTCTGGGACTCAGAAAGCTGGATATACACTTCAAATGATGTTGCAAAAACTTGTAGTTTGTTGCTCCTCTGCTGCCGTGCTTCAGCGCAATTCTCTGGAGGGGGCCCCCTGGGGGGGCCCCTGGAGTAGTCGTCGGTGAGGCCCCACATAACCTTTGGTTATTCGTAACGAATTGTGTTCCTCTGTGGCTTAACCACTTAATTTTGTGTGGTGTTTTAGTCATTACAAATCGATGATGCTTCAATAGTTGCAATTTCTGCGTCTGTAGAGCCTGCGGTGTAAAGGCACCTTCTCCGGTGGTGTTCACAATGGCGTGCTACAGCGTCATTCTTCCAACGTACAACGAAAGAGAAAATCTGCCGTTAATTGTTTTTCTGCTTCAAGAAACATTTGAGTCCCTGTCCGTCCTTTCACCCCATTTGCAGCTACTCCAACGCGTGCGAGGTCTAGGGTAAAGGATTTAGAATTGGGCTTAGGCCTGAGCGGCAAAAATTCCGGTTTAAAAGATTTGATGTGTTTTTAGCGTACAGGAGGCCTACACTGAAATTCCGGTGCCGGGTTGAAAATAATGGAGGGAGACTTGTTGGCGGTGTATAAGGATACACCTGTACACCTGGACCCGTTGTGTGGTATACGCATGTACCCCTGGATTTGTGGGGTGTACATACATGTTTGTGCAGGAGGGTGGAGTTCGAGATTGTTGTCGTTGATGACAACAGCCCAGACAAAACGGCAGAGGAGTTCAGCCGCCTTCAATATGCCATGAACAGCGACAGACTGGTGAGGTGTTTGTCTCCTGTTTATTGTATGACTGCTTTCTGTCTCCTTTCCGTTCCTTAGGTGTATTGGTTCTGTGTCCTTCCTGTATGCGGCGTCGTTTTAGTCTCCGTTGATTGTAAAAAAAATACGCGTGCAGTCTTCGTCGCATTTTTCTCCATCGGCTCCTCTGTGGCTGCCTCTCTGTCTCTGCCTTCCAACGCCTGCCGCATATCTTTCTGGGTCCTCTCTTGTGTGCATGCCTCCCTCCTTCTCTCTCTACATGCATTTGGTGCCATGTTTCTTTTTTTCCTTCTTTCTTCTCTTCGGTGTGTGTGTGTGTGTGTGTGTGTGTGTGTGTGTGTGTGTGTGTGTGTGTGTGTGTGTGTGTGTGTGTGTGAGTTTGTTTGTTTGTATTTGTGTGTTTGTTTGTTTGTTTGTTTTGTTTGTTTGTTTGTTTGTTTGTTTGTTTGTTTGTGTGTCTTCTGTTTCCTCTTCCTACGTCAAGTGGAGTGAGCAACGCCAGTGCTTCTGTTTGCCTCTTCAAATATAGTAGCTAGGGCTTGGGATTTAGGGCTTAGCGTTATCCGTGTCCTTCCCCCTCAGCGGCTGCTCAAGAGACCTGGCAAGCTTGGCTTGGGTACGCTTCGGGTCTGTGGGCAGCTGGTAGCAGGCACAGCTCACATACACTCCATGGGCGCATACAGGCCAACTGCATATATACCACAGTTGCACATACACATAAGCTGCATCTGCACATACACCCGCATTGCCCATACACCACAACTACACATACACCCAGACAGAAGGAGAGCTGCAAACAGCTGGTCACGGGAGGGAGGCTGTCTGTACTTTGTTTTATATTTTCAGGCACGGCATATCTCGACGGCCTCAAAGTAGCAAAGGGAAATTTTATTTTCTTAATGGACGCAGACTTCTCACACCACGTGAGACCTGAGCTGTACATACACATCAACCTAGTAGCTAAAACTTAAGCATCTCGACATGGCAGACATAAATAAAGCCGGTGACAGGAATTTTGACACAGAGGCTGAAAGAGAAAGGGAAGGAGATACATAAGCACAAAGAGGCAATGACCGCGAAAGACAGAGAGAGACACAGAAAGGCACAAAGATACAGACACACAAGCACATAAAGAGAGAGAAAGAGACAACGAGAGGAAACAAAAACAAAAAGCGTGTCACCGTATCCTTCTGTGTGTGCGTTTCTCTCTCTGTGCCCGTCTCTGTCCCTGTCCCCGTCCTGGTATCTTTGTTTCTCCTTTGTCCCTCCTCTTCGCAGCCCAAGTTCATTCCCGCCTTTATAAAGTCAGCAAGGGAACTTGCCACCGTATTCTCGCAACCCCCGCTGTCCCCTGTCTCTCTTTTTAACTTTTTTTCTCTTTCTTCTCAATTATTGTATCCTCCCGGCCCTTTATTTGTTCCCCCTCGTCCCCATCTATCTCCTTGTGTCCGTTTACTGCCTCCTTTCGCCTTTTATATTGCCTACTTTTGCCTCATTCTGTCCCGTGTTATCTATACGTATATTCTGTCCCTGCCTGTCTCTTCTGTCTGTTTGTTTCTTCTATGTATGTCTGCCTCTTCATGTGTCTTTCTGTATCGCTTTGTCTCTGAGTGTCTCTGACTTCACTGCTCTGCGTCTACTGTCGGTGCTGCAGGAAGCAAAAAGAAGGAGACTTTGACATCGTCTCGGGCTCCCGATATATAACTGGTAAGCAAATACGGAAAAGGGGGACAGAAAGAGGCAGAAACTAGACAAGAAGGAAAAGGAGACCAAAACAGACAGTCACACACAAAAGAGCTAGGAAGCCGCATATGAGTTGCCGTATAGTTTTTAGAGGCCTGAGGGAGGAGTCACCTATCCTCGTTTTTGTGTCTCCTGGCAGTTAAATCGAGCGAAAACGCGAGCGAAGCGAGAAACAAACTGCTGACTGTAATGGTGTACGGTTTAGGGTTTAGGGTTTGCAGTTGGTTGCTGCGGTTGAACAGGAGGAGGAGTTCAAGGCTGGGACTTCAGAAGGAAGGCAATAAGCAGAGGCGCAAACTTCCTAGGTCGGTCGCCGCAGTCATTTTGTCTGCTTGCGGTGTACAAGCAGCTGGCTTTCTCTTTCTGCAGCTACTTTACCAGCGCCTGCTGTTGCTGTACCAGCTGCTGCTGTTGCTGCTGGTTGCTCCGGTTGTTCCCACTGCTGCCACTGTTACTGTTGGTGTTGCTGCTGCCCTTATTGTTGCTGTTGCTACTCCTGTTGCTGCTGCTACTGCTGTCGCTGCTGCTGGTGTTGTTGTTACTGCTGCTTTAAGGCAGCCAGCATGTTGGGGCGTGCGTGAATATGCAGCTCAGTTGCTTCTAAACCCAGGCGTTAGCGATGCCACTGGCTCCTTTCGGTGGGTCTTCTGTGTTGCTGGCAGCAGCTCCTATTCTTGGTGTTGCTGAGGCTGATGTTGCTGCTTTTCTTGCTGGCGCTAGTGTTGCTGCTGCTGGTGGTGTTCCGATTTCTCTATTATCTGTGTGTTTCAGGTGTCCCTCTTTTTAGTGTGGGTGTCTCTGTGGGTTTTCTGCATTACTTCTGTGTGTTTTCTATTTATTTTTGGCCGTTTGTTGTTTGTCTGCTTGCTGTTTTCCTCCTACCTTTTGTCTTCGCTTGGCCGTTGCAGCCTTCCGTTCCAGCTGTCTTTACATCCCGGCATTCTCTAGTTTTTCTCTCTGCTGTTTTTTTTTCTTCAGTCTATACAAGCGAAAAACGCTTGAGGAGCTGATGCCGCATATTCACGCCAAGGGTGCTTCTATCCCCAAACCCTAAACCCTATACACCGTTGTTAGCTCTTCACCTTGTTAACCCCACCGATCCCCAAGGTGGCAGTTTTGTTGGGCTGCAGCTGCATGTTAGCTGCAGCAGCAGATAAGACACTTGCCTGTCTTCTTGTCCCCGCAAACGGAGAAAGAAAGCAGCATAGGCACCAGGCGCAGCAGAGGCACATGTGGCTGTTGCTGTTGTTGCTCCTGTTGTTGTTGCTGGGGCTGCATCACTGCGCAGGCTACGCGTTTCAGATGGAAGTGGTTGTGAGGGCTCGGGCTGCTGGCTGTTCAATAGGAGAGGTGCCGATTACATTTGTTGACCGGGTGTATGGACACTCAAAGTTAGGTACACCCTAAGTAGTTTTCATTTCTCTTCCCGTGTCTCCTCCTAGCACTAGCAGCAGTAGCAAGAGATTGAGAATCACGGGTTTGACGGGGCCCTAGAGGCTGCCATGGATTTTGCCGGCTTGTCTCCATCCCCCGTCTTGTCGTTTTTTTCGTCCCATTCTTCGCTGTCGCAGGAATCAAAGAGATCGTGCAGTATCTGAAAGGCCTGATGTATCTCTTCTGGAACGTGTAGACACCTCAGACAGGAAACGAGGCACCACACGCTGTACAGACACTTCGAGGACACACCTTTTCATGCCGCCTTGCCTCTCCCTTCCCTTGCGTCGGGTGCAGTGCACTCTTCTTACCCCCAATGCATGTGGAGGGGGCATCCAGGGGCCCCTGAGCTGTATGCACACCTCGCTGCCTCTGCTGCAGCGCGGAGAATATTTTGGCCGCATATGGCATTGTTCAGCATCCAGGAAGTGGCTTTGCTGTCACTTCCAGGATGCTGAACAATGCACATGCTCCTGCTGTTGCTTTTGCTGTCGCCGTTACTGCTGCTGGAGGCCTTGCCGTAAGTTGAGATATTGATGTTGGTTGGGGGCACCACCACCCCCACGGTGCCCTAGCTACCCAGATGCCTAGCCAGCTAGGTAACGTAGAGGTATCTTAGTTTCGTTCTGTACCCCGCCACTACCCTAGCTAGCCAGATAGCTAGCCAGCTAGTTAGCTGCTCCTGCCACCTAGCTAGCTTTGAGCCCTTCTGGCTGTACGCGGCTACCCATTGTTTACGCTAGCGAGCTAGTTAACTAGACAACTAACCGGCCGGCCTCTGCGTTGCAGCTGCTTCATCTTTCGTGTGCTCTTCCTGCCTTCCAGGAGGCCACACGGTGAATTTTGGCTAGCACGCTAAGTAGGGAACAAGGTACCGGGCCAGCCAGCTAGCTAGCTAGTTAGTTGTACAGGGGGTGGGGCTACTAGTTGGCTAGTCGGCCGCTTTTGACTAGCAAACTAGGTTAAAGGGCAGCTATGTGGCCAGATTATTCGCCAGTTCTATATCTAGCTAGCTGTTGTTGGTGCTGGAGATAGGGGCTGTGCTAGCCATGCCTGAAGAGGAGGATGTTGACTTGAGCAACCTGTAAATAAACTAATCCCTGAACTTGGTGCGTTACAAATGCCCCAAAATGCCTGCCAGCGATTGCATGCCAGGCACCCCCGCATGTAGCTTCCATGCTGCGCTTAAGGTCACGAGCGAGCTCTTGCCAGTGCCGCATTTCATTGTTCAGCAGCGACTGGTAGCCGCTTGCTGCTGCTGCTGCTGCTGCAGCGACCACCGCCTCCGAGGCATCCGCAGCCAACACCCGCACCCGAGGGCAACCCAGAAGCAAACCCTCTCCACCCCCGCACCGCTGCACAGATTCTACCATCTGCAGCGTGAGTGCAGCCCATGCTGCAGCAGCGGTTACTGCTGCTGCTGCGGCAGCAGCTATTGCTGCTGGGGCAGGATAGTGAAGGTGGGAGCTAGGAGGGAAGCGGGGAGACGGGCTCTTGTCCAAGTTGCCCGTTCTCGCCGATGCAATGGAAGAGAAAGGAAGGGATAATCCAGCAGGCAGGAGAGGAGAAAGACAGAGAACGGACTATCAAAGGGGTGACAGAAGGCGAAGAGAGAGAGGAAGGGGAAATAGACGGAGAGGTTACAGAATGCGAGAGAGGGAGAGATTCGATCGACAGCAGACTGGTAAGGAGTAGGCTAACCAGGAGGCGGCTAGGAAGAGGAGACAAGGCTCGATCACGCTGTTTTGCTGCTTCCTCAGGTCTCCCTAGCTGCTGAAGTCACTTTGACAAGCAGAGGAGTGGAGATGGACGGAGAATCAGCTTCTTATCTGTTGTTCATTGTGTCCCTTAGAGTGACCTTGTTTCTGTTTCTCTTCTGTGTTGTTTGCCCCCTCCTGTCTCCGTCTCTCTCCTTCTGTGGCAACAACCACCCCCTCCCCGTATCTGTCTCTGCTATATGCAGTCTCTCGCTGCTCCCTTTGTATTTATCGTATCTCGCTTTTATGCAGCAGTAGCCTGGTGCAGCAGCAAGAGCAGCAGAAAAAGGAACCGGTGGAGCACATGCAGCGAGTGACCTTCCTGTGTTGTGCGGCTGCTGCTGCGCGGGAGCGGAGATGGCAGCTACTAGCCTTCAAAGAGTAAATTGAATGCATACACACATCAAACAGACAAAGAAAAGCAACAGTCACTTCGCATACTAATCGCACAGGGGCGGCCGGCACACCTTCATACTGCCCGAGTTCCACCAGCAGCAGCAGCAGCCGTTGTCGCAACTGTCGCTGCTCTTGATGCAGCGGCCGCTTATTTAGAAGCACAACTCCTTGGAGTTTATGTATACTGGAGGCTGTCATAAGCCATTTCCACATGCAAACTTCTCCATTCAACAGGCAACCCTGTGCCAGGAAGGCACAGACAACCCTGGTGCCTTCCTGGCGCTAGCTGCTGGTGATGCGGATGTTGTTGCATCATATATCATGGCTGATAGGCCAGGAGCATACTGGTTATCTTCTTTCAACAGCAACACAGGTAGCTGAGGTGTCTCGCTGCATGCATGCTGGCTGCATGCTGCTCATTGGTCTACGCTTTTATAAAGCGAGAGTTCGAGTGTATCCACGGCACAGTGCTTATGAAGAGGCCCCCCCCGCCGCCGCAAACACATACACACACACACACACACACACACACACACACACACACACACACACACACACACACATAACGCAAGCCTCAGGTGGTTACAAACGAGAGCAGGTGCTGCTGCGGCTGTCTGCCGTATCACTGGCACATTAGCTGCAGCAGCACCTGCTCCGCCGGGGTTCTCACCTAGGCCAATCCCCACAGACCAGCAGCAAGGACAACGATTGCAGCAGACCCTCTTCGCCTTTTGTAGGTGGCTTTACGGAAGGCGCAGCATAAAGGCTTGCTGCTTTTCCACTTTCTGTGCAGCTGTACCCAGGTACCTGTGCTATCTACAAGAACTGCAGATTTTGCAGCAAAATACCTCGCATTCACAACTGCACGTAATGCGACTGGCTGGATGCCGCCTACTCAGTACTATATGAGCTATAGTAGCAGCAGCTGGAGCTGCTGCTGTTGCATTTACGTGCATGCCGCAGCAACATTGCTATCCAGCCCGTTGCTGCATGTAAAGCTGCTGCCTCATCGTTGAGAGAGAATTTCGAGACAACGGTACCTTGCAGCTACACGCTGAAGCAAAAGGACACCCACACTAACCATCTGCTGGTGCTGCCGCTGGTGCTGCTGCACAGGATCCAGGAAGACGGCAGCGCATTTAAACTGCCTTATTCCTTTGAAACGACACGGCTAGTGAACAGCAGAAGCAGCAGCAGCCAAGATGATTAGCAGCCGCAGCAGAATGCAGCAGACCAGCTATCGGCAAAAGCAGCAGAGGGGTGCTGCTGCTGCTGCTGCTGTGTATATAGGGACTGATATTCGGAGATTCAGAGACACACCATACGAATTGTCTGCTGTTGTTGTTTCTGCTGCTGCTGCTCGCTACCCGTCCTTTATACGCAGCCTACACCCTAAGCCCGTACCCTGAGATCCAGTCGAGGAAACGTTACAGGAAGGTAATTACGGATTTACAGCTCGCAACAAACAAACAAACCGAGCAGTCATGGGGCCTCCAGCAAGCCCTGCTAGCTGCTACGTGCTCTTCGATGGAGCATCAGCACTCTGCAAGGTAGGCTGCTAGCCAGCTACCCGGTGAGCTGTACCAGCTAGCTGGTAGCTACCTGCTGGCTAGCCGGTATTTAGCTAGGTACACGGGTCCCCGAAATCCCGTTGCAGCTTTCTGAGGAGGTGGTTAAGATGTTTGGCAGTCTCTGCTGCTGTTTCCTTTCTCTTCTCCCAATGCTGCAGCAGCACACGTAGCTCCAGCTCACGATTAAGCGTTTGCTTTTTGCTGCAGCGCAGCTGCTCCAGTAGCTTGGCTAGTTGCTGGTCCTGCTTCTGTAGAAGCATCTGCTGCTGCTGCTGCACCTCCTCGTGCTTCTGGCGCTCTTCCTGCAGCTGCTGCTGGACACGCACAAGCTCCTTCTCCTGCTGCTCTCGCTGTTTTTGCTGCTGTTGCTGCTGCTGCTGCACAGCTTGCATCAGCTGCTGCAGCTCGCGCTGCGCAAAGTCTAGGGCTTCGTCTTTCTGCTTTAGCTGTTGTTGCTGTTGCTGCTGTTGCTGCTGCAGCCGCCGTAGCTCCTCCTGCTGCTGCCGGTCTGCAGCAGCCGTTGCTTCCCTAGCTTCCTCGACTTCTCTGTATCTCCGATGCCACTCCATTGCTCTGAGTCCACCAGCATTAGCAGAACAGCAGCAACAGCAAACAAGCAGTTAAACAGCAGCCAAAAGAGGCAGGGAGGGGAGTCAAGAAAGGATATAAACATGTGGTGTAAGCTGCCTTCACCAGTCGAAGCTGCTGCCTTCTAGAAAAATAGCTAGGCCCCTAGCGCGGAGGGTTTGGGGGTCTCACCGTTGTGCATACTCCTCTGTTTTCCTCTCTAGTTCTTTCTCTCGTCTCCGAGCGGAGATGTTTGCCTCCTGCAGCATCTCTTCCTTCTGCAGCAGCAGCTGCTGCTGTTGCTGCAGCTTCTCCTCCTGCTGCTGCAGCAATCGCGCATGCACTGCGGCGGTTTGCTTTGTATCCCTGGCTTGAGCTTCTGCGGCTTGCTGCGCTGCAGTTGCTGCTGCAACAGCCGCCTTTAACGACTGCAGCTCTTCAGCGGACTGCTGCTGTTGCACAGGCTGCTGGCTGTGCTGCTGCTGCTGGTGCTGCAGCTGTTGCAGCTGCTGCTGCAGCAAGTCCCGCTCGCAACGCAGTTCTCGCACCTTCTCCCGAGGAGTCCAGGAGTTGTGTGCATCCTGCAGTTCCTGCTGCAGCCTAGCGACGCGTTGCACCAGCTGCTGCTGCTGCTGCTGCTGCTCCGCGTTTTTCGCTTCTGCTGCAGCAACGGCGGCCTGCAGCTGCTGCTTGTCGCGCTGCAGCAGTCGAGTCTCCTCCACAGCTCGCTGCAGCTTATCTGTATTTTTTTTAAAAGAAGCCTGAAACTGATATTCTTCTTTTGCTGCTAGCCGCAGTACTCTGTTTAACTCGGCGTTCTTGCGGCTGGTCTGTCGCAGCGCCAGCTGCAGCTGGTGCAGCTTGTGCTGCTGCCTCTGTTGCTCCTCTCTGTGGTGCTGCCTCTCCTGCTCCAGCTCCTGCTTGTGCTTCTGCAGCTTTTCCATCGCCTGCTGAACCTGCTGGAGTTGCTGTTCCTGCTGCCGACGTGCTGCCTCCTTCACTGCGGTCAAGGAAGCGCTGAAGGCACTCTCGAGCTGCTGTAACTGCTGCTGATGTCGACGGCGCTGTTGCTGCTGCTGCTCCTGCTGCTCCTGCTCCTGCTGCTTCGCGCTGCGCTCGTGTCTCTGTCGAAGCAGCACTTGCTGCCGATGTGCTGCAGCAAGCTCATCTTGCTGCAGAGCTGTCTCCTGCTGCAGCTGCTGCACACGGCTCCATGCTTCATTTCTCTCTTCCTGCAGCTGCTGCAGCTGCTGCACGAGCTGCTCCTGCTGTGCTTGCAGCGCTGCTGCTGCTGCCTGCTGCTCCTGCTGCTGGCGCCGTTGCTGCTGTTGTTGCTGATGGTGGTGCTGCACCAACTGCCGCAGCTCTTCCACTTCATCGGAATAGGCAGCAAGTTGACGCTGTAAATGCTCCAGCGCCTGTTGCTGGTGCTTCTGCTGTTGCTGCTTCGGTTGGCTTGCCTCATGTAGTAATGCGGCACGATCAATCTCCACGTCTACTGCACCCACTACCTCCGGTGCTGCCGCTGTTGCGGCTTCTTCATCTGCCTCGCCCTTTGCTGCTGCTCTTATGTTGGATTGCGGGCTACTCGGTGAGTCAACAGCAGCAGCCGCAGCATTCTGCTGGTGCCGCAGTTGGGCTGCTTCACACAGTCGCTGCAGCGGGCCTTGCTGATGTGCTGCTTGCTGCTGCAACAGCTGCAAAGCGAGCCGGGCTACCTCCAGCGCGTCACCTGCTGCACCTCTCAAACAAGGGCAGTTGCTGCTGCTGCTGCTGCTGCTACTGCCGCTGCTGCTGTTTGTGCTGCTGCTGCTACTGTTGCTGTTGGTTTTGCTGTTGCTGCCACTAATGAAACGACGAGGTGAGCAGCACCCAGATTCGGAGCCCCCAATGGGGCCTTTTGAATTGCTACTGCTGAGGACTTCTGCTGCTGCTTCTGCTGAGGCTACCATAGCTGGTTGTGCTTCTGCGGTGGTTTCTGTTAATCTTATTGGTGCGCGCACCTCAACCTCCTTCGACGCGTCAGCCGTTGCTGCACGAGCACCAGGTGTGTCTGCGTTTGCTGCTGTTGCTGCTTCTGAAAGTGGATTGTCAGGGAGACCAGCAAGACACTGCAGGAACTCCATTGCTGAAATTGCATGCAGGGCTGCATGCGATGCCTCTGGGAGCCGCTGCAGCGTCGAGAGAAGTAACGATGAGCTGCCTTCTGAAGCTGCTGCTGCTGTTGTCGCCTCTTCTGCTGTGACTGCTTCGGGTGCTGGGTCTCCTGTCGGTGCTGCTGCTGACCTCGGAACGTTGCAGCCTGTCACTTCAAGTGACAACTTTTTGCTGCTCTCCAGTTCTGGTGAGTTGCACCCTGCTTGCGCTGCTGATGCAGCAAGAGCTGCATCTGTGGTTGCATCTGCTGCTGTTTTGGTCTGGGCATGGTTTCCTCCAGTGTTGCAGGCCTCAACCACTATTGCAATGTCGCGGGTTTGATGATGTGTTGCTGCTGCTGGGACTTCTGCTGCTTTTGTAGATACTTTTGTGGCTGTCTTTGTTGATATTGCTGTTGCTGCCTGTGGAGCTGCTGCTGCTGCTGCTGTACCTGCTGTCTTCGCTCTCCGTGTTGCAGCGCGGACCCCGCACGCGCCGCCCAGAGAGATGCACTGAAGTCAGAGCAACAACCAAAGGAGCAGCAGCAAAAGCCAATATACGGTAGTACGATGCAGCAGCAGCAAGATGCAGCAGCAGCAAAAGGCAGCAGGAAGGTCGAGGAGGTACATCTTCCATTCTGCTTCGCTGAGGCACGCAGGGCGTTGAGTGGAGACAGAAACAAGGGTTTAGGGTTTAGGGTATGTGGTACTCTGGTAGAAGGATGCGGTCTGAGCTGCCTCCAGAGGCGGTCTAGTTCCTGCTGCTGGGAGTCGAAGTCACAGCTGCGGGTGACATCCCCAGCAGCAACTGCTGCTGCTTCTGCGGCTGCTGCTGCTCGCTCTTCAGCTTCTACTGGAATGCCATCGAGCTGCTGCAGCAGGGGAGCGCACAGCAGCACAAACCGGCGATAGCACGGGCTGCAACAAATGAAGTTGGTGTTGCTGCTGGTGCTGCGTTGAGGAGACAGGGCGATGGCATGAAGTGTTGCGTCTCCATCACGTTCCTGCTGTTTCTGGTGCTGCTGCTGCTGCAGCGCGGCTGCGGCACGCGAAGCAAAGGGAGCAGAAGAGAAAATCTAAACCACAAACCCCTGATCCCCAACCCCAAGCGCCGCCTGCTGCGCCTCTGATGGCTGCTACAGTCCAAATCCGCTGCTACGGTTAAGGGATTATGGTGTTTCTACCTTCTTTAGCTTGCAGGGACAGCTGCTTGAGGTGAGACAGGCCCCCAAGGAACAGCAGCTGCTTCAGTTCCCCTAATCGGTTGCAGCGCAGGTCGAGGCACTCGAGGCGGTATTCCGGTCCCCACAGCTGCATACAAACCCTCAACCCTAAATCCTACACCCGCAAATCCCACGAACCCTGAAGCACAAACCCTGTACTCTGAACCCTGTTCACCCTACAGCTCAAGCCCTCAAGCTCAATGGGTGAATATGAAACGGACGGCACGTGCAGCCAGTCTCGAAGTTCATCTATCTGGCACCCATATGTAGGATTTACCTGCTGGAGGCCCGAGATGCAACTAATTTGGTTGAGCTCAGCGCGGAGACAGCGGAGGCTCGACAGACCCGCGACGCCATCCAGAGACCGCAGCTGAGAACAGCACCACCTCCAACAGCACTGCTATTGCTGCTGTTGCCCACTGCAAAGTGCGCGTGCCGCGCCTAGAACTGCAATGTATGGGGCTTTTCGCATAGGCGCCAGGTTCAGTGTAAGGTTCTGGGTTCGGTATTTAAGGTCTCTCAGCGTTTAGGGTTCAAGGTCTATGGTTTAGGGTATACGCCTTGCCTTGTTAGAGGCGACGTCGAGGAGCCGCAGGCGCTGCAAGGACGTTAAGCAGCCAAGCCGCTCCAAATGATTAGAGGAGACTCGCAGCTCCTCAAGAGCAGGCAGGGCGTTTATCCCCTGCAGCAGTACCAACCGCACAGGTGCAGCAGCAACAGGGGCAGCCGTAGCACCTAATGGTGCCGACGGCGGAATCCCCCCGCAGGAGCAACGGCAACTTCTGGAAGTAACAGCCACAGCTAAACAGCTTCGCAGGAAAAGAAATTCAACAGCAGCACATCATCAGTAACATGAGCACCAGCAACATTAGCGGCAGCAGTGGCAGCAGAGGCAGCGTACCTCCAGAGAAACTAGGGAGTTTGCATGCAGAGACAAGACCCGAATATTCTCTAATGATGCCCCCACATGCATCTTAGAAAGCGCAGCAGAAACACAAGTCAAGCCAAGCCCAATCAGACGTATCTGCTGCTGATGATGATAATGATGAGCTGGCTGCAGCCGTGGCTGGTGCCCCTGTGAACCCTGGGGCTGTGTACGGCAAGGAGATCCATCGGGGTGACCGGCAGTCGTTTCAGGTGTTTCCGGGGCTGCTGTTGCTGCTGATACTGTTGCTGTTGCTGCTGCTGCTACATGTCCTGAGGGTCCCGGAATTGCGGCATGACTGCTGCTGGTGCTGCTGTTGAGATCTTCTTCCTGCTGAAGCAGCTCCTGTGGCTGCACCGGGAGCAGCAGCATCAGCAGCAGCCTAGCCCGCAGCAAGAGGAGAATCGGCACTCATCCCAGCAGCCACAATGCTGCCACTTCTGTTGCTGTCGCCACTACTGCTGCGCTTTGCAATTCGGCTGCTATCCTTGGCAGTGCTGCAGCTCCTCTACTCTGTGTAAAGCCTGGCAACTCTGCCTACCTTGGTATTGCTGCCGATGCTGCTGCTGTCGCTGTTATTTTTGTTGCTGTTGCAGCCCTGTTGCCGCCACGCAGACTCTGCGGTGGCTCCTTACTCTTAGATATAAAGAAAAACTCACAGCCTAAGGGCGCGCCCAGAAAACAAACACTGGAGAAGCTTTAAGCATAAAATCCGCAACTATATGCTCTCGAGACGAATGGCAGGAAGGCATCAGTGTTTAAACTTTGTGTTTAGAGTCTGTGGTTTAGGGTAGTGTTTAGGGGGCCCTTTGGCGAGCGTGAGGGCCCCCTGGTCAGCGGCAAGAAGAACGCGTTTCGGCGGATTAAATTGAAAGTATATATGATAGTTAACAAACGAAACGGTAAAAACAACTAGAGACGAACCTTGAAGGCCGTGACCGTTTTGCAGACATGGGGGCCCCCTGTGGTGGGGTCCCTGTGTGCGAGTCTGGTGGCGGAGAATTCACGCAGGTACTGCTGCATTTTTTAAGAGGTTGTTTAAAAATACAGGAAGACGGACGCATCTAAGGCAACTAGAACGCAGCGGGGAACAAGGGGAGTAGTGAAAACCCTTCCAAGCAGCCACAGGCCAATCAACCGAAACACTCCCGTCAGAACTTCAGGTGTATATGCACCGCAGCAAAAGGCAGTAGCAGCACCACGGTGTCATCGTTTCTGCAACAGCACCACAGGAACAGCAGCTCCCCATAAGAAGGCCTTCCGGAGACACAGATCCTACCGCCGTTACTGTTCCTTCTGCCACCTCAGCGCCTACCCCATCTTTGTTGGCGCAGTCATCCATGTAGCTATGAAAAGCTAGTAACAGGTTGCTACAGCTCCCCGTACCCCTGAGTGACAAACAGAACACGAGCACCCAAAGCCATTTCGGGAGGTAGGCGTATGCACAAGAGAAAAGATGTACACATGCTCGGGTTAGGTGGTCAAAAACGTCGTTAAACTCACCAAGCACGCCACGATTGTTGATTACGATGGATAGGAAATAAAATAATCACGATGTAATTTACTAGCAGGTTGATATTACACACCCTGAGGGTAGACTTTTGAATTCTGGTGTTTCCTCATCGATTGCTCAATGCTGAATGTTTGTTTATGCGGAGGGCATTTATACTTGGGGCATTTTGGAGGAGAAAAAAGCGTCACCATTGCCGCAGTATGAATGCCCAAGCTTGTTGGGAATGCTATTGAATGCCCAACCATACTGGTGTAGGGTTGGCCTCACTGATAATATATCATATATGGCCTATGGTATCATGCAGTAGGCAAACACACATAGCCAGCCTGCACAACTAGTAGCACGCGAGCAGCAAGCAGTAGTGTTAGCATCAGCAGGGCCTGTAGAACCGGCAGCAGCAGGAGACTCACGTACCCGTTGCCAGAGCAACACCTGGAACGGCAGCAGCTGTGGGAACAGGGGTACGTGAGTCTCTTTCGCCTGAAGGGTGGCAGCACCAGGAGCAGCGGCGACGGACCCCTTCTCCTGGGGGCCGCCGCAGAAACAGCAGCAGGGCAACCCAGGGACCCCCACACCAGCATGTGTTTGTATAACGTACCGTTGTTTCTGCTTCCACTGCTGCTGGTGAGGCACGGCCAGCCTATTTATTGACAAGCACATGCTGCCATCTTGGCGGTTGAAGGACACGGTGGTTGAGGCTCTCCCGTCTAGGGCACAGGCAAACCCTATTGGGATTTACCTAACCTGGTAAGTACACGATGCTGCGGGGGCTGGCTCCCCGGTCGGGTGTTCGCCGTTATCTTGCTAGTCAGCAAGGTGCAAACCCTGCTATCTGGCTGGATAGCCAAGTACCTAGCATGCTGGCTAGGTAGAAAGAATAACTAGGTAGCTAGGAAGCTAGTTTGCAAGCTAGCTAGCTAGCTAGGTGTTTTGTGGAGACCCGATGACTGTGCAGGTGCAGCAAATCTATGAGTGTCTCCCCGAGTTGTCTGAGGGAGCCTGGAGGAAGAGGAAGCAACAGCTTGCTGCTGCTGCAACTCGCGTCCCTACTGCTGCTGGCAGCAGCTGGGGGCAGGAGCAGCCGAAACGCCTGCTGCAGCTTCGTGCGGACCGCTGTGTGCATGCCCAGCAAGCAAGCTATATGCAGTAGAACAAAAAGCATTAGCATTTGCAAAATGGACAGCAGCAGTAGAAACCCCCAAAACCCCAATAATTCAATTAGGCAAAATTCAAAAATAGCCATTTCCCATGACTTTTGTCCCCCGTCGCAACGCCGGACCCGTTTCCCGCTATCGCCTCACATTATCCTCTGTATTTCTTGAGATTTTCCGTCTTCGCTCATGCATTCTTACCTTCAGATCGATAAAAGTTCATTCCCAGATCAATAAAAGTTCATTCTTTCCTTAAATTGAAATAATTTAAATATTAGAATAATCAAGTTTTTCTTAAGATCTGTGCTCTGCTCCTGCTGTAGTAGCACGCCGTACAACACCACTTTGCCCGCTGTGTCCCGTCT